TCTTCGGGTCTCCTATTATTCAAATAAATCATTGGAGTCTAGGATGGGGTTGGGAGCTCAGGCTTTAGGCTTCCACCTTCATGACAGTTGAAATTTTAAAAATTGGTTCATATGAACTTGCTTAATATCTGACATTAAAAAGGTTGTAGGATCTGTTTGGTAGTTGGTTGATTTAAATTTGGTTGATATTTGCTGTCATGATTTACTTCCCGAATGCAACATAATAGAAAAGTATTTTTGAATGACATTCTATGCATCTTCTGTGTTCAATATCTTACTTATCACAAGGTTGTACGATACTAATGTGTTCTTGTTTTGTCTATAAGTTGTAATAAAGTCAATATTTATTTATTTTTTAAGTTTTTTTAAAAGTTTTTCCAAGCTTGGAAAATAAATTTATTTTTTTAAAAAATTATTTATTTTTTAAAGTGGAGTTTTGGTTTATTTTGCTACAAGAGACTAACACGGCTACCCCTTTTCCAATCAGACAAACCTGCCTCACAGGGCTGTTGTGAAGATCAAACAGAATTGCTTGGATGAAGGGTGGGATGAATACAAGACAAATCTTTACAAAGGCCTCAATGAGCTATTGCCACGTTACAAAATGCACGCACCCCTGTACTTGAGTGCAAAGGATCTGGGCCTATCCCCCTGTCAGTACAGGAAACAGCTCTGCAAAACGACCCACCAGGTAGCTCCCCCCCTTCAAAGGGTCATTCACACTTCCCTGAACTGCTGTCCCCTTGAAACATCAGGGTATATTTGCTCCCATGAACAAAGGCTTAAGGACTCCAGGTATTCCTGAACAATTTATTTGGAAGGGTGTGCCTGCTTTCTGTGCCATCCACACAAGCTCCTTATGTACCAGAGTGCATTCCACAGCAAAGAGGGCCATGCTTGAGCTCTTGGGAAGATGTCCCAGAATTCTCCGGGCTCTGCCTTCCAGGAAGGAAGGAAGATCAGTATGCGTTCTGAACACCAGGGAAGGGATGTTCTGCGCACCGCTCTGGTAAATTTCACCTGAATGAACTTCGAAAAAGCCACAGGCTTCAGTCTCTTTCTCACTGAGAAAAAGAGGGATGCTGAATCTTCACAAGGATTCATTCACAGAGCTCCCACATCGGAACAAGGGAAACAGCCTGGATGGTTTTTCGTCCTGTGGCCTTCTCAGCTGAGACCCGACAGATGCTGCCATTACAGCTGTTTATGTGAAGGTCGTCGGAGAGGCACTGACACCTCTTTCCTAGCACCCATCAAGGAGACAAATCCAGGTTTCGACAATTATTTATTTATTTATTTGCTGTCAAGTCGCTGCTGACTCATGCCGAGTCAGTAAATAAATAAATAAGTATTCAGAGGTGGTTTGCCACTGCCTGCCTCCGCCTCACGACCCTGGTATTCTGTGCAGGTGCCCCATCCAAATATTAGCCAGGACCGATCTTGCTTAGCTTCCGAGATCTGACAAGATTCGGCCAGCCTGGGCTATCCAGGCCAGGGCAAATGGCATCATGCCCTCCCAGACCCGGAAATTGAACAGGAAATTGCAACCCCTGAAACAGAAATTGGTCTGATCTGGAAGCCTAATTCTGTGGCAGAGGAGAGCAGGACTCCCAGAACCATCCCAACAACGCAAGCCCTAGACTGGCAAATCGCTCAGCTCAGCAAATCTCAAAACAAACTAAAGAAGAGCTTGTGGCATCTTAAATACAGGCCAGTGTGGCACAGTGGCTACGAGTGTTGGACTAATATCTGGGAGATACAGGCTTGAATCCCCATTCACGCCATTAAAGCTCACTGGGGGACATGGGGCCAGTCACACTCTCTTAGCCTAACCTACTCCACAGGGCTGTTGTTAGGATAAAATGGAGGAGAGGAGAAGGAGGTACGCTGCAAGTACAAATGAAGTAAATAAATAAATAAATAAGTATTCCAGTATACGTTTTCATGGACTACAGCCCACTTCCTCAGGTGCTGAGAAAGTGACAGCGCTCAATCACTTCCTTATCACCCTATCCTGAAATCAAAGGAGTTATTTGCATCAGAATGAAGTTTGCAGAGGATCAGCAAGGGCCTTGCCTCACATAAAAAGGCCGGTTAGGATAGGCGCTGAAAAGGTACAAGGACACCTGTCCCCTAGTCAACACTTCTGCCGCTCTGCTCATTATCAACAAAGTGTGGGAGAAACAGGACATTATGCAACCAGAAAGCCAGGCTAAACTGTACAGAAACAAAAACCAAGCTGCCCATCACCACAGCCTAGAACAACCCAGCAATTTCTGTTACCTTCCCCTGCAGAGAGTGGCTTGGCTCACTTTCCAGAAAAGCTGCTAGCTCTACAGGCACCATGTTTTTGCAAGGCATCTGAGCTTGGACCGTGTCATTCAAGAAGGCGGGGGAAGCCTAGTGCCATTTATTTTTTATTTATACCCTGCTTTTCTCCCCAATGAGAATCCAAAGCAGCTTACAACTTGTTCTCCCCTCCTCCCTTTCATCCTGAACCAGTCTGGTGTAGTGGTTAGGAGCGCAGACTCTAATCTGGGAGAACCGGGTTTGATTCCCCACTCCTCCACATGCAGCTGCTGGTGTGACCTTGGGTCAGTTACAAGTTCTTTCAGAGACTTACTCTCAAGAGCAGTTCTGGAAAGAGCTCTCTCAGTCCCACCTACCCTCACAGGGTGTCTGTTGTGGGGAGGGATGGGGAAGGGAAAGGAGATTGTAAGCCGCTCCCAGAGTCCTTCAGATAGTGAAGGGCAGGGTATAAATCCAATCTCTTCTTCTTCATTCCCACAACAACAACCCTGTGAAGAAGGTTCAGCTGAGAGACCGAATGGTTCAAGGTCACCCAGCTGGTCTTCATGGAAGGGTGGGGACCTGAACCCAAGTGTCACACTGGGTGTCTAAACTCTAACCACTACACCACACGGACCAGGGGTGGGGTGTGACACTATATGGCTTCTGAATCTCAAGTTCCAGTTGTACAGCTCTGTAGACCTCTGCCCCTGAAGTCCACACCAGGTGGGACCCCATCAGGCACCACTGCCTCTGTTTCCGTTGTGCTCTGCAGCAGACGAAGGCACCTTTTTGGCAACCTCTGAAGGTGCAACTGCCACACAGTCCCCTCACACAGGCACAGGTGAAAAGTTTGTAGAATGCCTTTATGTTTATGTGGTGCGGAGGGAGATGCCCAGCGTTCTCCCTGTGCATCACTTTGGGGCTATGAAGCATCATATTTTGGATCTGTGACCAAAGTCTCTCTTACTAGCACAGTGAGCCACATGTGGGCTCATTCACATGTCGGCTCTAGCTCTTCTGAGCATTTGACTCGAGCCTCACGTTCCCCAGGGGGCCTCAAATTTACACTTTTGATGTCAACTGCTAGTTTTGTATCATTGTTTTTGCACTTAATTTTTAAATTTACTGGGGGGAGCCCCTCAAAAATGGAAGTGGCCCAGGCTTCTCTTGACCTTTGTGAGGGCCTGCACCTGCCCCATGGTTCAGGAGAGTGGACAAGTCCCTTGCCTATTGAGGCCTGCAGTTGGTTTCCACCTTGAAAGAGCTGCCACCAGAGAAGCGGATAAGCTCCAAGCCCCCCCTGAGGTACAGGCCTCAGGGCAGGGATGGAAATAAACGTGGCTCTTTCGGTTGATGGCGACTGTAAATATGGTTCTCCACAAGTGACAGAGCTGGGAAACTGGCTGCAAAACTCACACGTCACACTCACTGTGGCAGCTTCCCCCTCTTTACCAGTGGTTTCTTTATCAGACAGTGAAAATGCAATAGAAAAGCCACACCAAAGCCAGCCAATCAAGAAATAGGAAGGTGTCTTCCTGGCTTTTCCACATTCCCCTCGCATTTAACATCGGCACTGCTGCATGACTCAGTTTCCCTCCCTCTCTGTGATGCAAGGGGGCAGAACGAGGCAGAACAGGGAGATGATTATTTTGTTTCCTATCACGGAGGGAATCCCAACGCTTCCGTGTGGAGGCACAGCCAAGGTCCCAAGCACTGAGGGAGGTGTTTAGGAAGAGGGTGGGGATTCCAGGGAAACCGCCTGGAAGACCACTTCAAAGCAGCCCGGCCGACATTTATGTTGCCACTACGCACACACAAACACAATGGAAGTGTCGGCTGAAGAGTTCTGTCTTCCCCAGAAAGCATACACATTTCTTGAAGCAGAAGTCAGTCCATTCATTGTAAGGCTTACTTTTGCTGGGCCAGATCAATAAATTCAGCACCTGGACCACTGTTTGGAGAGTGCCCCCCCCCTCCAGCCCAGTTTTTTGTAGCACATGTTCTTCGGAGAAAGGATGTTCCAGCAGCCCTAGTCTATAGCATACCAAAGATAGTTTCAGAGGGAAGCCATGTTGATCTGTAGTAAGACAGACTGATTTGAGTGCAGCAGCACCTCAGAGATCAATTCCTGTTGGCCTACTGGACTCAAATCTAAGTGTAACACGCCTAAGACAATGTTCTGGTTGGTCATTTAGCAGTTCCGAGTTCGACACTATTCACAGCCAGCATAGCTGAGAGTTCCACAAACCCACTCTGGGTGGTTGAAAGGCACTCTGTACATGCTCAGGAAAAGATAGGGTTGCCAGCTTTCAGATGGGGCCTGGAGATCTCCTGGAATTACAACCGACCACCCAACAAAAGAGATCAGATCCCTTGGAGAAAACAGCTACTGTAGAGGGCGGACTCTCTGGCATTTTACCCCACTGAGGTCCCCTCCCCAAACTCCATCCTGCAGTCTCAGGGAATCTCCCAACCCAGAGTTAGCAACCCTACAATTGGAACTGAATTTTAAACTGAAACTCTTCTCCTCAGCTTCAAGTTCTGGATCTGGGCTTAAGTTCGAGAGGAGGGCCGGCTGTTTTTATACATGCGCAGCGCCCCCCCTCCCCCCCGTTTCAACGTCCGCGGCAGAGAGCACTCTACACACGTGCAGAAGACCTCTTGCTCGCCCGCCTTGCAGGGCGGTGCTTGGTCGCCGCTTGACTCACCCCAGGCCAGGAATTGCTGCACGTTCCGCTCCCGCCGCAGGGGGGCGCCGCTGCATTCCTGGTGGACGCACAGCAGCAGGTCGAGGAGAGCCTCCAGCCCCGGGTCCGCCGTGGTCCCCTCGCCCGGCTGCGCCGAGAGCAACTCCCGCAACCCGGCCAGGCGCCGCTCCACGGGGCTGCCCATGATCCTCCGCTCGCCGAAGCCGCCGCAGTAGCAGTTGCGCCGGGGAAGCCAGGCTGCCGTCGAGGCAGGCAGGAGGATTAGACGACGACGACGGAGGACGGCGTCCGGCCAGCCAGAGCCAGATCTGCCGCCTCCAGCACCTGAGCAGGAGCAGCAGCGGCGCAGCTTGGCCGGGCCCCGCCTCGATGTTTGTGGGATGGGCGCAACCTGACACCTGGCCCAGGTGGGCGGACGCTCTTGGCTCGCCTGGCACCCAGAGACCGCCCGCAGGGGCCAGAAACGGAGCCACCCTTGGACTTGGGAGGGCGCGGGGCCCTCTCCCGTCCCCCGGGGGGTTCTGCCACGGACGCGCCCCCAGGGCCCCTTGGGCAAATCCCCCTCCCCTTCCCAGGGCTCTGCAAAACGGGACAATCCTGGTCCCAACTCGCAAGGTTGTTGCAAAGGCACGGCTGGAAACGCCTTTTTAGCCAGTTAGAAGGGACTCCACTGGAAGCCGCCTTTTCCAGGGCAGAAAGACCGCCTGGCCCAACCAGCGTCCCTCCCTTCGGATGTTGTCGGGTAGGCGGCGCGGGACCAGTGCGAACGGGGCTCTAGCCACTGCAAAGTGGGGGTGAGCCGGGTATCATACAACAACTTCCCTCGACCGGCGAACCGTAAAACCTGCGAGATGTCGTCAAGCGCCTTCGCCTCCCAAAGCGGGCAGGGCAGGCCCAGCCCACGCCGCCAGCCCGAGGACATTCGTCTCGATCCTCCCTTCGCTCCCTGTCCCTGAGAAGGGAGTTCCGCGGATCAGCGGCACGTTGTGTTCCCAGGCCGCCGATCAACGCCTAATTAGCTTGTCTGCAAAACTGGAGCGCCCGCTCCGACTCCAGGCGGGGATCCAGCGCTAAGAGCTCCGAAAGGCTGCTGTGCAGGGTTTTGCAGGCCGCCTGCCCAAAGTTCGGGGGGGGGCGGGCGGCGGAATGGGTACACTTCAGCAGGGCTCGGGTGTCCAGAGAGAACTTGGCTGGGTGACAAACTTCATATAGTCTGTTTCTGGTAGGGTTGCCAGCCTCAAGGTCGGACTTGGAGATCCACTTTTACAATTGAGCTCCAGCTGACAGAGATCACCTCCTCTGGAGAAAATGACTGCTTCGGAGGGTGGGCTCTATGGAACTGTACCACGCCGAGGCCCCTCCCCAACCCCACCCTCTCCCGGATCCACCCCCCCAAAGTCTCTAGGTATTTCCCAAACCAGACCTGGCAACCCTAATTTCTGGAACTGCAGAAATAAAATTGATTTCTTCTTGACTTTTGTATTTCATGCCTGGTGTTTGGAATGGAAATCAACAGCTGCCCTACCCCTGGCCTTCTGTGTTGTGGCCCCCCCACCTTGTGGACTGCTGGTCAGGAAGGCCCCCAGGCTCTCCTGGCTTTCTGCAAAGGATGCAAAACTGAATTATTCAAGAGGGCTTCCCTAACAAGACAAAAGGTTAGCAGTATACAAAATGATTCACAAAGTTAACCTGTCAACACTTAATGCTGTGCTTCAGTTCTGTTTTCTTTAGATCTCTGATTGGTTTTACAACCCAAATCCTATTTCATTGTTTACTGAGTGACCCATCCTGTTGATTGTATCAGCTCATTCTGTGTATTCTGCCTTGAGTCCCAGTAAGAAAGAAAGGTAGATTATGAACAATGTTGGGAGAAGGTTACGACTTTGTATGGGTCCCAGTGAAATGACGCTTCGGCCTTCTGCTTGCCCAAATAGTCTCCAAAGACACTGAGCCGGCTTTTACACACCATGCTTCGATGCTGCTGTTATTATTCTTTTCTGCTGTCCCCTGCAAGTGGAACTGAAACAGGGCTGCCAGTCACATGGCCTTTAATAGCCTTATATCTAATAGTCCAGGCTGCTTCCCCCCACCACACACACACACAGTGGAGCGAAAGATCTGCACAATGGGACCAGCCAAGGCTAGGATAGTTTCTGCAAACCTGGGGAGGGCGGACAATTCTGTCTCCCTTTGCAAAAAAAAATCTATTTTTAGAAAATGGTTTGAAGAAGCCCAAAAATTATGACATCAGACCCCAAGTTAAGAAGGCATTTGGAACGCTGCCATTGTGGTAGCTACCAGGAGGAGGAGAAAAGGGTTGTTGTTTTTTTTGTCAAGGACAGGACCATAAAGGCCAGGGGAGGGGAGGTTGGGAGCCATTGGAAGGGGAGGGGGGAAACAGCAACCAGCAACAGGTGAGAAGAGGAGAACTGGAGCAGGCAGCAGAGCCTGGGGAAGGCAGGAACTGTCAAGCGGGGGCAAGCACTGAGGGGGCAGGGGAGAAAAGCAAGAGCCACAAAGGAATCTCCTGTTGCCCATGAGCCTTTCCAGGTCTCCACTTGTAGTGCTGTGTTTCTTCTAACAAAACTGGCAAAGCTCATTCCAACAGGCATCTGTGCTTATTTGGAAGCTCGTCTGCCAAGAGCCATCAAAGCCCCCCCCCCCCGGCTTCGCTCTGGGAACTCCAGACCACATTTAGGACCTCTTTGCATGCCAAGCGGGTGCTTTACCACTGGATTTGTGTGTCTCTAAAGTGCCATCAAGTTGCAGCTCACTTATGGCAACCCCACGGGGATTTCGAGGCAAGAGACATTCAGAGGTGGTTTGTTGTTGCCTGCTCTGAGCAGTAACCCTGGTCTTCCTTTGTGGTCCCCCATCCAAAGACTAACAAGGGCTGTCCGGGTCTCATGAGGTCAGGCCTAGCCTTGGGCACCCACCATCCAGGTCTGGGTACTGCTGAATTTGCCTGCTCTAAATTACTTCCTGTTTTCTGGTCTGACCAGTGATGGCATTCATAAATCAACTGTTAATAATCTGTTCTTGGTGGGCGTGGGAGGAATTGCTTTTCAACCTGCATGAAGGTGCTGCTCATTTTTTTAAAAAAAATTGTAATTTCACAATAGCACTATAGAACTCAAAAGATGAAAATTACTTTGCTACAGAGAGAATAGGAGAAAACAAAAATTAATCAAGGTGGAAACTGGGCGATTTAAAGGGACAATAGCCATGAGAAACCAATACAGAACTTTGAGTCTACACACTAGTGCTGTGATCACATTTTATGTTTTTAAAAATCTCCACAAATCAGATCTAAAGAAAGACAAGAGTATAACATGGAAAACACTGGAATTTAATGGGCTCGTAACAACATTAACTGGACTCTCCAATAAAACTGAGTGAATGAAGCATGGCAGTTTTGGACTAAACCTCTATTGTGGAATCAGCCATTGTTTCTCTCTCCTACTTCCATGAAGCTACATTGCCCTCTGCTGGGAACAACAACTCCAACTTTGTGAACAAAATAAATTCTTTCCCTTGGAGAACCACCAAAGCCTGAGGCTGTGCATGTTGCCAAAGCATAGAGACAGGAATGACTTTGCACTTGCTGCAAAAGAGCAACCATGTAAGTTTTACCAGTTCATCATCTTCTTGAATAAGAAATATAGGAACATGATCCTGTACATAATTAAGAAAAACTTGGCCTGCTGTGGTTACATAAATGCTAAACTTTGACAACCTCTTGCAAAGCTTATTTTTTAAGTGGTGCAACCTCCAGTGTGTTTAACTAAATGCCAAACCAGTGAAGCAAGCATTCAGACATCATCAAAACATCAGTCTTGCTCTGCTTGTAAGCCAATCTCATCATTATCCTGCCCTTCCTCTAAGGGGTTCTCTCCTCCCTTTTTAGTCTCGCAACAACCCCTGTGAGGTAGGGTAGACGGTGGTGCAGATGTGATCCGCCCAAGGTCGCCTAGAGGGCTGAGTACCTGTCTGGGGAATTAAACCTAGACTTTTCTAGTGCCAGATATCACTTTCTGGCATTAACCTGTTGTGTCCAATAGCTGATGCTTCGTTTAGATTTCGGAATCCTATAACTTTGCTTACCAGATATCTTATTCTGTTAATTGCATTGACTTACATTGCGTGATCCGCCTTCAGTCTCAGTGAGAAAGGCAGCCTATAAACGGTGGTGGTGGTGGAGGTGGAAAGTCCCATCAAGTCGTAGCTGACTTACGGCAACCCTGTAGGGTTTTCCAGGCAGGCAGGGTATGAACAGAGGTGGTTTGCCATAGCCTACCCTCTGCAATAACAACCCTGGACATCCTCAGTGGTCTTCCACTAGGGCCGACCATCCTTCACTTCCAAGATCCAATGAGGTCGGGCTAACCTGAGCCATCCAGGTTGGGGCAAGACTATAAATAGGTTGAATTAAATAAACTCTTTGTCTGCACCAGTTAAAGGTTTAATTCATTTTTAAACAAGCCTGACTTGTTGCAAAGGCTAATCCAGGGGTGTCAAACATAAGGCCCGGGGGGCCTGAACCGGCCTGTCCAGGGTTGTTATGGGGCCCACAAGCAACTGGTACAAGGGAGGGAGCAGGAGGCTGCTCGGGGGTTGGGGGGGTGGAGCCACTCCAATTGTGGCTTCAGCACAGCAGGACAACCTCATCTGCAGCAGTCAAGCAGAACCCCTTCACTTCAGGGACTGGTAATTTGGAAGCCACTGCAGCCGCATTCATTCAGAGTCTGTTCACAGGGTGGGCGGGGTATAAATGTAAATATAAATAAATAAATACCTCTCCACTCGGCCTGCAGTTCTGGGTATGCTGTCCTGGATGGCTGCAGGGATTGCCTGGGCTCTGCACTTTGGGGTGGGGGAGTGCAGACAGTCCTCTGTTGGAGAATGGGAGTGTCTGCCCAGCGCTGCACTGCTGGGTCTCCAAACCACCCATGTGGGTTTTCCTCTGCACCCCCCAGCCCATGGGGCCTTGCAGTGAGGACACACCAACTCGGAGCTTACCAGTTACTGTCCTTTATAAAGTTTATATCTCCAGTACCCAGCATTATGTTTTATGGCATACGTGGCCTGGCCTGACAAAGTGACATTTATGTCAGATCCAGCCCTCATAACAAATGAGTTCGACACCCCTGGGCTAATCCTTTGCAAGTTTGAAAAGTAGGACTCTTGTCAGTTTGATTAGTTACCTCATGATGATACAGATACAGGAATCTGTATCTGTCCATCAGTGTCCATCAGAGGTCCATCAGTGGCTATTACCCACAAGGTATAGATAGGGACTCTGGGGCAAGTGATGCTCTGTCATCTTGGTGCTTGGGGGGGTCAACAGTGGGAGGGCTTCTAATGTCCTGGCCCCACTGGTGGACCTCCTGATGGCACTGGTATTTCTGGCCACTGTGTGATACAGAGTGTTGGATTGGATGGGCCTTTGGCCTGATCCAACATTGGCATCTCTTATGTTCGTATGAATCCTATACATTCGCCTTGCAAAAACTACAGAGTAAGTAACTGGGGGCAGCTGCTTGACTCCAAAATAAGTTTTTTTGGGGAAAAACCAATTATACACCACCCAGAGTCTGTGTACTCCGCCTTTGCAAGGTTACACACATTGGAGCCAGTTCCAAAACTCCAGCAGTTCCAAAACCTCCAGCAGTTCCATAGAGCCATAAAAACGGAGCTGTTTCGTCAAGTGTTCCAATAAAAACTGACTGCTCCGGTGGAGCCGCACTTGCACTTTATCATAGGATGCTGTATTTATTTACTTAGTCTTATTGTAGTTTTTGAAATTGTATGAATTGTATTTTATATTTTGTATTTGCTGGTTTTAAATTGTATGTTGGTTTAAAATTGTTTGTAAGCCACCCTGAGCCGCTTCGGTGGGAGGGCGGGGTAGAAACTTAATAA